AAGTTTTTGCTTTACTCTCAATGTTATTGTTCATATACTACTACTTAACCGTTACAACGTGTTCATATCACTACAACCCTACAAACACTTAGAGAAATTAAGATAACCTATATAGCCTGGCCAGCTGGATTATCTGAGTCTCTCTACGTTGTTTACGGGGTCCTCCTATTTAAAACGTGGCCATGGTCCAAACAGTATATGCGACCCACGAGGTCCAAAATAAAGGCATGATCCCAAAAATGAAATAAAAAAAAAAACTTGAGAGACGGATCCCCTCATCAAGTACATCACGCACAATGCTATATGTAAAACATTAGTGCAAAATCAATAAATAAGAAAGGACAATAACTTTGATAGTAAAATCAACGTATCAAGGTTTCAAACGAATATAAAGTCATGAAGCATGCGAAAGTACTAGTGGACATACCCACTTAATAAAAATAGAAATAAAAAATAAAACTAAGTCCTCTCTTAAAGAAAGTAAGCACAACACCACACCCAACTACACTTTACGAGCCGAAGTAGCTTCGGTAGTTCGGTCATCCGCTTCTGCATCCGAGGCTATTTCAGTATATTCGACATCAATATCCTCTCCCTCATCGGGAATGTCCTCCTCCATACCTCGAATAATCTTCTCGTCAATTCCACCAACCTTGCGTAAGTACTGACGACACGTCCTAACCAACGGAGCATAAACCCCAGCTATCGCTCGTTCTTCGATCATCGCTTGACACATATCACTCTTCTGAAAGCGACGTTCCTCTTCTAACATAACCGACTCCTTGTAAATTTCTTCCCCATAAACTTCTTCCCCGTAAACTTCTCGGCATCATACTTCTCCTTCAGCTCGTCATAGCACCGTTCTAGTTTCCTTAGTTCAATTTTACTCGCCTCGGTCTCGCTCCTACTAATCTCCAATTCATCGGTCCTCTGAATGAGCAAAGTCTCGGCCACCTCTAGTTTGGATTCCGCTGCCTCCAATTGAGCCTTTAGCTCTTTCTCTCTTGCCTCCCAGCCAACACGCTCCTCATCATTGGTCTTTTCGACTTGCTCCTCCTACTCCACGAGATACCTCCATATAGCTATGAGCTATATCAAAATTCAGACAGATAATATTAGATTATCGAGACTTATAATTTAAAACGAATAATATATTAACTTAAAACAAATATTTACCCGACACATGTCTCCTCCAGCCAACGAAAGCATATGAGCACGACCTTTACCCGATATCCGACTTCGGTCGTACTCCCCAACGAAACCCTCGGTCTTCCTCAGCGCGATAGTATGATCGGTCGTATCCCAAAAAGAATCCTTCCCCTCTCGGTTCACCCCGTAAGTGAACATGCATTTGCCTGCCCCCCCTGGATGCACATGAGAAACCTCAGGATCCACTCGAGGCCGTTTCGGTGCAGGTACATACACTATCTCAACCAACTTATCCTTCCCATTATTAACCACTCGATCCAGGTCATACCCCTCAACACTATGATTACGATCATCTCTACTCACATGAGGGGCCTCCACGTGGGTCACTTCGCGCGATTTGCTACTACTTGATTTCGCTTGCTTCAAGGGATCCCTCCTCGCTTGCTTTTTCGCACCTCCAGTAGCCTTAGCCCGAAGGGCCGCAAAATAAATGAACCCATCTATTAAAAAAAAAAAAAAAAAAAAAAAAAAAACACAACCATTTACTCACAGATGGATAAAAAAGAATAGCAGAGACAAGAAAAAATAAGGCACAAAGACATAAAACGCGTTGACTACATGCAAAGATGTAGACGTCTGACCCTTTGGAATAATATAACTCGGATCGAACTCCAAATCACACAACCTCGACTCCTTAATTCGTTTCTTCATATTCTTCATTATCTTGAAAGATTCGTATACCGAATTCCAAACAAGGGGAACATTGGACGACGAAGCCCTTACATAAAAAAATAAAGTACTCTATTTTTCCCACTTCAATTTAATCCCCTTCAAAAATCTGTAAGGAACCCCGAGGATATGTGCAGAAGAAGGGTAAATCACTTGAACGATGTAGTGTAAACAAGGCCTTGAACATCTCAACACTAGTCGGTAATCCTACTTGGCTCATTCTTCGTCAAAACGCTTCGAACGTGAGAATCACGTTCGGAGTTAATTGACTATATCCTACCCGAAATTCCTCGCATATCTTCATAAGAGTCGAGTCAGGCACAATCTGCGAGGTACATGTCAAATATGCGATGTATTGGGTGTGGAACCCAACAGGGGGTGCATACAATCGTTCACCTTTTTAAGGCAAGAGCATCTCAATATTCCTCGGAGCCCCAACTAGCTGACGAAAAACACAGAATTGCGATTAGGTTAACGAAGTATCAAAATCCACCAACTTCAGATTAAGTGGTTTTATTTTCTTCCCTCTATTTTTGTCTACAATGACATCTTCGCGTGGAATGTCATCCTCACCTCCCACATGTCCATCCGGATTTACATCACTCTCAGATCCGTCAGACTCATTAGACGAACTCGACTTAAGTGATTCTTCACTATCACTCCCAAAATTCACTATCACCTCCCACCTCCCTCTCTCTCCCCCCCTCTCTCTTCCCTACCCCCACGTGGGTAATCCCCACCAGCCCTACCCACACCCACCACTTTCTCTCTCCTCCTCTCTCTCTTCTCTCTCCTTGCCAACCCCTCCACTCCGGGCTCCGTGCCCGGCTCTAACCTCACACACAGATCGCGCGGAGCCGAGCCGCGCGGCTCCTCTCTCATCCTCGAGCCGCGCGGCTTGGTCTACTGGCTCCGTAGCAATATTTCCGGATAACCCTAATCGCGTACAATCAGAACGCGCGATTTCTTTCTCCGGTGTAATTTTTTTATCGGAACTCGACCCAATTACCTTCCCTACGGTTCCAAAGGTCATCTCGCTCTCTACAATCGACTTTCGCAGGATAATTTTCAACTGTTTCACCTTTTCCGCTTCAGACATATAAATTATTTTATCTGATGATCTTCTCAGCCAGAGAATATATTTTTTTCTACAACGAAGTATATGGTGCAAAATAAAAGACGAAGATATATAAAATAAAAAAATTGATTACTAACCCATATCTATTCGACGTGAATCTTGATACTCCTCTCTACTGATGTCACAAGGAATTACTTGCTACAAGGCACAAATTTATATTTAAGCACTTTAAATATAAATCGGCTCATCAATCCAGCCCGCAAAATAATAAATTTTTTTTATTATTATCCCTACGTCAACGACACCGACAAGAAGATCGAAATATAATTCTACTCTCGACACGATCCGGCACCTCTCTCCAATTCGCTCCCACATCGATTCGAGAGTGGGGGGCTTAATGATATGCCTATTGGCCCAGCCCAATAGACCCATATTTACTGGGTCACAGGCCCAACTTAATAGTTATTTCTACGGAGGCCCAATCACATCCAAATAAGGTTGGGCCCGAGAATTGATCTCGGCTCAATCAATAAAGTATAAATAGAACTTAAACTCATTTAATGAAGGTACACTTTTATTATTCAATCACTTTTTCTACTCAAATTCTCTCGGCTATTACCGATTATCCTCACGTCTGACTTGAGCGTCGGAGGAGTTTCTGCCGGATCAACTCCCGGCTTAGATTACGTGTTTTCTGTTCGCATGATTATTAAGTTAATTAAAGTGTTTCAGGACCATCTAGCTCGTGAGCACGTGACCTACTTTGCTCTCCCAGCTTTAACACCCCTGGTGATTTATTTTTAACATCATCAGTTAAAAACATGTTTGAATAGTAAATTTTCAAATATTTTTATTACATAACTAATTATTTATACGATTTAATAATCAATTGCAAATAAAAAGAAACATGCTTAAAACATCAAATAATTAGGGAATGAGGGAGTAACATATATTTAATTAAATTCAGTCCAAATTAGTCTAATAAATAATCAAATAAAGTTTCATACAATTGTATTCTCATTAAATTACATAATTCTACTATCTTGGAAACCAAATCAAGCTTTATGTGTTTCATAAATCATAAATTTGACCATAGAATTTGTAGGACTATTATTTATATAAAAATATATATATAATAATAATAAAATCAACTAAACCCAATCAAAGACGTCGGAAACTTCTAAAAAGTACGTTGGAATTTGGTGATGAACATTATGGATTTATTAAATGGGATAGGGCGGCTACATTTACGACCTTTTGTTTCCGGTCAAAATTCTTTATTCCGGTTGATTATTTACGCGGCGGTTCTAATTACTATACTACCCTTGCTACTTCGTTTTCTTTAGATTTGAAATTAGCCCATTTCAAAAAATAAAAAACAGTAACAAAATAAAGCCTAAAAACATATATATCATACAAATAACCTGTTTGGTTTTGACTTTAATAATCAAATATGTGCACTGGGTAAATACAATTTAGTGATATTGAGTTATATCAAACATGCCACTAATTTATTTTTATTTCTTTTATATAGACAACGGTAAAATTCGATTGGTGGAATAATCATGCTCGAATTTGCGTTCAAATCTTAATTGGAACTTGATGCGCGATCATTTACTATGGAACAAACAATCACTAAAGAGAGCGGGATGGGATCATAGTTTAACGAAGTTGGTATCATCTAGAATTTTCCTACCAATTATTTAGACTACGATAATTCGAAAAGGATAAAAGAGCAAACTACAGCCACCCCTAAGTTATGATCAAATTACGAAACCCTCTCCTATATGGGTAATTGCAGTCACCCCCCTAGACAATGTACTATATCACGAAAATACCTCTTTAGATGTAAATTTAGGGATGTTAAATCAGTAAAATCGAACCGAAATTTCAGATACACCAACATTTCATACTGTTTACTGAACTGAATATGCGATTTGGTTCTGTAAATAGCCGAATTACGTAAATTTTATGTAAAAATATTTAAAGAAGGGGTGCATGTAACTACCCAAATAAGAGAGATTTTTTCGTAATTTAGTCAGAGGGTGGCCGAATTTACCAAAGATAAAATTATAAAGACTGGAATAATTAGGGTCTATGAGATGCTACATTTGGCAAAAAATACTGGATGGTTTTGCACTATAAATTTATACAAATAAGTGAATAACCATCCACTAAACACACATAAATGTGTGTGTATTTGTTAATGTGGCAAGACCTCCAAATGTATTTTATCGGATGTAGCATCAGCAGATCGAACGGATATCGAACGGATAATTAATGGGAAAAAACATCTCAATTTTGCTCCAAATTAGGTAGGGGTATTCCTGTCATTTCAGTAAAAAAAAAAAAACAATTGACTGGATAAAGCAAAATGCATGGATCTTTCACACGTGTACACACGTAGACATTCCCCACACCCTATATTTCTTCACGTTAGACCAAATCCTTCTCATCTTAATTTCTTATTTAGTAATAAATCCCCACAATATATTTTTTTTATTAATCTCCAAATTTCACAGATTGCACTATTAAATAAAATTTCGCTATATATTAAATTCTTCTCTCTCTCTAAAAACCCTTTTTTATACTGTGTGCTCAAGAAATTGCAATCAGGAAAAAAAAAAAAATCAGAATATAAGAATAATCAAGAAATGGACGGCGGCTCGTGGGCTGATCAGTGGGACAACAGTTCAGATCCTCTGCCGGAGAAAAAGAAGAGCGGCGGCGGTGCGGCGGCGAAGTATGGGAAGAAGGTCGGAGAAGGGCTGGGGAAAACTAAATCGGCGGCCACCACCGGCGTTAAGAAGGTTAAAGAAGGCACCTCTGTCGGATTCCGGTGGATCAAAGACAAGTGCCAGAAATCCAAAAGCTGATTATATATATAATATATTTATTTATATATAAATATGGACGGTGATTTTTATTTTATTTTTAATTAAAGTTTGTTGATCTATTTATTTGAAATAAAAATGTGTTGGAATTATTGTTGATGTACATGAATTTTTATTTTTATTTTATTTTTATTTTATTTTTTCCTGGGATTAAGGTATGAATTCTTGATGATCTTAATTTGTTATGTTAATATATTGTCTGTATATAAATATAATTGTAATATTAAATTAGAATAGAAGTTTGAATAATTTATGGATTAGTACATGTAATTACAAATTAGGAGATTGAAAAATTAATTTATAATCTGAAGTTAATTTGTAACTTGATTAAAAGTATTATATTATTTTTTAATGGTTACGTTGTTTAATTTGTAATGTTCGTATCGATGTGTCGTTTTGTTCCAGATTATGTTCAACATATGTGAATATTTTATTGTGAAATGTATTCGATTGGTCAATGTATTTCATTATTCAACATATTTTAATTTTTATTGTTCAATCTACATGTTAATACACATCGTGAATATTCATCAAATCACTTTATGAACATTAAATTAATTAAATTATTAAAAGTCAGAAAGAGGTGCAAAGGTGACATCAAATCAACACCCAATAAATGACAATTAAATTATTTTTATGACATCTTAATGATGCATGTACAATTTACTAATTATTATGCGTTAAGAAAATGTTAATTTGTATAATGCGCACTCACGTTTTTTGGGCCAAAAAATATTATTTGCAATATATATTTCTAAGTAATTGAATATCGAATTATCGACGATCGAAATTAACAATTTCAAAAAAGAGAAAAAATATCGAATGTGAAAAATTAATGTCAATTTCGTTGCAAAAAGAATTGTGCAATTCAAAATTCTATTTTTTTATTCGTATATAATATAATATAAAATACATAATAATACTGAATTACGAATGTAATTTTTCTAATTGTGAAATTCCCTCGAGGTATTTATGTTGTTTTTTTCAAAATCGGTCATTGCATACAATGCTAATGTGCAGTGTGATATCGGAAATATTTAATAGGAGGTGTTGTTTCCTAATTTTTATAACACATGACTTTTTTTTTCTCGAGAAATTTACACTTTTCGTCACTCGAGTTTACTCGATTTTATATTTGATCCTCCATGTTTACAAAAAAATAGATTTAGCCCCTCATGTTTCAATAATTTAATATTTTTGATCATTTCCGACAGTTTTTATTAAAATTAAGAGAATCAAGCATGTCCCCATCACTCTCTTTGACGTAATATCTGCAAATTGGTGGAAATAACAAAAAATATTTAATATATTGTTGAAATATAAGGGACCAAATGTTTTTTCTTGTAAACACAGTGGACCAAATGTGGAATCGGTGCAAAGTTGAGGGACAAAATTTGTAATTTTCCCTTGTTTTTTTTTTTTTTTTTTTTTTTTTTTTTGCAATTCTAGATTGCAAAAGGGGGGGGTTTTATTTATTTATTTTATACATATTAATTTATATTAATGCATTTTCAATCTATTTACAACAATTTTACTTTATTATTTCATAATTTCATAATACCAACTTTGCAATTAATATATGTTTACCTAAAGGAATCTAAAAAAAACCTTACCCTACCTCTTTTATTAGTTGGAGTTAGGAATTTGGCCTAACTACTCTACATTATTAACCTAAAAAAAATTATTTTTATTTTTTCATAAAAAGTTTCAAAATTTTGTCATTGATTCAATTAACGAATTATATCATGTTTAAATGGGTTTCTAATCTAATCATAACTATCCCACTTCAATTTTTTTAACAAGTTGTACTCACAACACGTGTGCAACTTGTCATTGAACATGATATGTTTGAGTTATAGTCTATGTAGCACGGAAATTTCAACTTAACGTATCTGTTTTTCGGACACATTTTGTGTCCGACACTCGAGGACACCTGTCAGACACCTTATGGTCCATTTTGCAATTTCTGAAAAATTAGAAACATGTTAGAATACCAAAATTTCAAATATTTTTGTTACTTCTCTAATTATTTACATGGTAAAAATAAACAAAATTGATAGTTAATGATAATATTTATTTTGAATATATTTGTATGGCAATATATAAAATGAATCTATATATACATCAAATCTTATTTATGTTTATATATCATATCTATAAATACACATCTATACTTTTAATATTTATACATTTTCCATAAGTTCTTGTATCCCCACTTTTTAGACAAGCTGTTTTTTCATATTCGTTTCCCATTTCCCCCTATCGCTGATTCCATGTCCGTGCTACATAGGTGACAGTTAGCATATCCGTATATTTTATTTTATCTTTTTACAATTAAAACATCAAATTCAATATCTTGATGTTTTGTTTTTACCAAGTACTAACTTCATACAACAATTTTCGTCATTATAAATCAAGAATCTTGAATTCAATTCTTCATCCAAACAAATTCTTAAAAGTAATAAAAAGTAAGGATTTTAATTTTATAATAACAACAAACCCATGAATCGGATCTTAAAAAACAAAAACACATGAATCTGAAAATCATTACATAACCCCAGATTCTTTTCTTATTAAATTCATCAGAAAAAATAAATAAATAAAATAAAATCTGCACAAAAGTACCCCACATCTCATCCTGTGAATTAAAACAGTGGTGGATACTTCCCACTTCCCACCATTTAGTATTCAATACCCCTCCCCCCCCCCCCCCCACACCCACCCCACCTGCATTGGGATCCCTTCATTTCACATCGCATATTCCCCTTATTTTAATTTTATGATATCAGGGAATCCTGTAATATAATTTACTCTAACTTCAGTCATTGTCTCTGATTCAAGTGTTAAAACAACTTTCCTCCTTCCCTATTGGTTCAATTCTTTTGCACCTCTTTCTGAATCAGAGACACTAAAATCAAGAAACAGGGTTTATTGCATTTGGGACACTGAATTATTGAAAATTTAAGCCTTTTTTTTTTGAAATAGTTAGCATTTAAATTAGTCTGTGTAGGGAATCTTGAGATCTGGGTTTGTGGGTTTGATCAATGGGGAGCTCAGATGAAAGAATTGTTGCTGTGATAATGGTGGGTGGGCCCACTAAAGGTAATATCTTTATCTTTATCTTTATCTTTTTTAATTGTTTTTATTACCACCTTGAACTGATCATGAAGTTCTGATTATGATTACTTGTTTGATATTTAGTGTGGTTTGGGTTTAATGTTGGACCCTTTTGCATTCATTTGGATTTTAATGCTTGAAATTGGACTGTGCATTCATTTCAAAATTGGATCTTTAATTAGATGCCCATTTCTTGATTTAATTCTTGTGTTGGAAAAGTTGTAGTAAATTGAAAATTTGAATTGTTGTGCTTGAAATTGGACAGTATTCATCGAAAAAATTGGATCTTTTATAAGATAGCCCGTTTCTTGATTCAATCGTTGTGCTGAAAAAAATTGTAGTTAATTAAAAATTAGATCTTTGTTTGAATTGTTGTGCTTGAAAGTGGACTGTATTCATCGAAAAAATTGGATCTTTAATAAGAGAGCCCGTTTCTTGATTTAATCGTTTTGTTGAAAAAGTTAGTAGTTAACTAAAAACGAGACCTTTGTTTGGATTTGGATTTGGATTTGGATTACGAAAATGCAGGGACTAGATTCAGGCCGTTGTCGTTGAATATCCCGAAGCCGCTTTTCCCACTGGCCGGACAGCCGATGGTTCATCATCCAATATCCGCTTGTAAACGGGTACGCTACCGAATTGCGTCCGCGTTACAAATTTTCAATTTTATTTTGGTTTGTTAGTTTGTGTAATGTGATTTACGGCAAAGTCGATTCGTTTATTGGGAATTTTATGTCTTTTTTAGATCCCAAATCTAGCGCAGATCTATTTGATTGGCTTTTACGAGGAGCGTGAATTCGCATTGTTTGTATCGTCGATTTCTAATGAGCTTAAAGTGCCTGTAAGGTAACTACATCGATTTATTATTTCTTGTTCCTTTCGAGTCTCGACACATCAAAACAATGTTTTATATATAAAATCATACACTTAGTGTTGTTTATCGTTTGAATGTTCCGTAATTAGATACTTGAGAGAAGATAAGCCACACGGTTCGGCTGGTGGACTATATAACTTCAGGGATTTCATCATGGAAGATGATCCAGTTCGTATTTTAATGTTATTCTTTATTATTTACACATTCTATAAAATCTAATAGAAATTTAATTTAAATTTTTTTTTAATACGGGGTCTTTTTTTTTTTTTTCCACGCAGTCGCACATTTTTTTGCTGAATTGTGACGTCTGTTGCAGTTTTCCACTGTCTGAAATGCTAGGTAAATTGTCCAAGTTTTACCGGAGAGTAATATCTCATTGTCTTTTTCGGAATATGATTTTTATTAATTTACGGATTACTTTGCAGAGGGTCACAAAAGCTATGGTGGGCTCGGAACAATTTTAGTGAACAAGGTCCGTAACTTGATAATGCCATCTTTCTTGATTAAATAACACTCGTCAAATTATCATTGGTTCACAAATTACGTTTTCCTTTTTTCCAGGTTTCTCCCGAGTTAGCTAGCCAGTTCGGGGAACTCGTTGCGGATCCTGTTACGAACGAGCTTTTGCATTATACCGAGAAACCCGAAACTTTTGTATGTAATAAGTTCAATTTTTTTTTTTTTTTTTTTTTTTGATAATAAATAGTTACAATAATTTATCTCTGCATGAAACAGGTTAGTGACCGTATTAACTGTGGTGTTTACGTATTCACGCCGGAAATCTTTACAGCTATTCAAGGTGTATCCACGCAACGTAAAGAAAGAGGTTAGTTAGTATAATAATCTTCGATATTAATACGTATTTTTTAGCTGATTAATTAGCTTAATGATATATTTATTTCTCGTTTTTTTTTCGTTCTATTTTGCAGCTACTCTAAGACGTGTAACGAGCTTTGAAGCACTTCAACCTGCAAACAGGTACGTAAACGCACAACGTACAAACTGCTCGTATATTTTTCCTCATTTTGAGGAAAAAACAAAATCGTGTCAGTAAATTTATACGAAAATTAATTTGCAGGAATCTTCCGACAGATTTTGTACGATTGGATCAAGATATTCTATCACCACTTGCTGGTAAGAAGCAGTTTTACGTGTACGAAACCATGGATTTCTGGGAACAAATTAAAACCCCCGGGTAAGTTAAATACAGTACAATGTCGTATGCTTCTGCTTCGACTATATATATATTCTTTAAAGACTGTTATTTTCTATCTAACGGTTTTTTTTTTATAAATTATTTTGTATTATTGTGTAGAATGTCGTTGAAATCTTCTGGGCTATATCTCGCCCAATATAGAATAATCTCACCCGATCTTTTGGCGAGTGGAGATGGTTCGAAAAATGCTACGATTTCTGGCGATGTGTATATTCATCCATCGGCGAAAGTTCATCCAACTGCAAAGGTAGTCCCAAGATCCATCATTTTTTTGGGTAAATTACAACCACCTCCCAGAGGTAAAGTGTAATTACGAAAAAACCCTTTTGTTTGAGAAATTACATCCAACCCCCTTGCAATTTGTAAATTTCTTACATTCACCCCCCTACAGAAAGGTGTTAACGTAAGACATTTACAATTTCAAGGGGATGGATGTACTTATTGGAAAATGAGGGTTTTTTTTTGTAAATAGACCTTACTTCAGGGGGCAGTTGTAATTTACCCTTTTCTTATATTTCCAATATTATTTGAAAAAAAAAATCCATTTCTCCTTCGGAAAGATAAAGAAGTTGGATTTTGACCACCCTTAAAAACGATTCACTTAGGGCGATGGGGGTCATGACCCCCCTCACCGCTTTTTTCACAAAGCTAGTATTTGATATATAGAGATTTTTTATTTATTAATTTAATATTAGTAATCTGTTTTGGTGTGAACTAGATTGGTCCGAATGTTTCGATTTCGGCCAATGCTCGGATAGGAGCTGGTGTGAGGCTTGTGAGCTGCATTATTCTTGATGGTGTTGAGATTAAGGTGCTAATTTTGTCTTAACTATTTATATCATGATCCTTATTAAACCTTAACAATGTCATAATTTTTTAATTTTTAAATTAGGAAAATGCCGTTGTAATTCATGCAATTGTCGGATGGAAGTCTTCCATCGGAAGGTGGTCCAGAGTACAGGTAATCGGGCAATTTTTTCTCCCACATAGTCACTGATTAACGAAGTAAAAAGTCGTTCGAAAAAATAATATATATGAAATATAAAACATGATACATACGTTTCCTAAGCCTGAGTTACCGTATTTCAGGCTTCGGGTGATTACAATGCAAAGCTTGGGGTTACTATTCTCGGTATGTCTACAACTCTCTCTCTCTCTCTCTCTCTCTCTCTCTCTCTCTCTCTCTCTCTCTCTCTCTCTCTCTGAACCGTACGCATTGTTTTGCGAACCAGGGGAATCTGTGACGGTCGAAGATGAAGTTGTGGTGACAAACAGTATCGTGCTTCCAAACAAGACTCTTAATCTAAGTGTTCAAGATGAAATCCTTTTGTGATACACACAATCGACTAACTCTTCATCGAAAATATGTTTGTTTTTAATCCATTATTATTATTATTATTCATTTGTTTTAATTTAATTATTTCTCTAATTTGTAAAATGACATCTTCTTTCATTACAGTAAACATATGACAGAATTCTTGCATTGTTTTTCATCCCCTATTTTATATACTACATATATATAAGATTGGCTAGAGTGGGGAGTTTTTTTTAACACTTTTTATTGATCAAGGTTTGATAAAGTACATTTTTATGAAATTTTTTTACTTTGTGGATTAACATGTTTTAAATTTTAATGGTTGGGTGTTTGTATTACTTTCGTTTTTGTTAGATAATACAGCAGATTGTAAAATTATTGTGGTATCCTATGGTATAATACGGTTTACTATTCCGAACCCTAACAGCCAAAAACCTCAGCCGCCGTCAAAACCTAACATCTAACATCTTCCAGCCGTCGTCAAAACCTAGCAAACCAACAACTCCTTAGCTTCATTACCCCATTATCCCCTCCATCTCTTCCAACGCAGCACCACCGTTGCCGCCCCATCTCCTCCACATCCACCACCAATGCGTGGCGACCCTCTCCAGCCAAAACCCCTACACCTCCTCCCTAGCCCTCGCCGGAAAATTCTTGTTCGCCAATTCTTCCGACAATCATAAATTATCTACCCTAACACCTTAATTGGAATAAGCAAATTCAAAATAATGGAAAGCACCAATAATTAATGAATGTTTATGGAGTACTCATCATCAATCATAAAGTAAAGTTCAAATATTGTAGAAAATATAATTTTGTGCACATAAATTTGTATACCAAATTGTTATCATATATATATTTATTTATTTATTTATTTATTTATTTATTTATTTATATATTATACTTGAACTGTTTCGAAAAACTTGAGTACAAAACGATTTCTTTTCGACGGTCTAGCGAAAATAAATGCCTTGTAGATTCCTGGCGCGACGGGAAGGCCGTCATTTGCCTCTATCACCAACTTCAAATTCGAGCCTTGAACTATTTGCATTTCTCCGCTGATCAAACGTAACAAATGCAATTTCGTATGAGCCGTTTCATTATACTTCTTCAATGCAAATTTTGCTGCCTTCACAATCTCGGGATCGTTTAGGTTAACGATCGGAAACCAACCACCGACCATGACATCATCATGCTTGTAAGTTGTAACTGCGAATCGGAACTATCAAAATAGAGAGTAGTAATATTTCTAGAAGCAAGATACATTTGTATGCCATTTTTTTTCAGTAATTTGTGTGACAGAAACTCTATTATTTATACAAGTAAAAAAAAATGAAATTATATTGTTATTTAATATAAATATCTTAAAAATTAGCCACATAATAAATTTGTAGTTATCTCCTAAGCCAAAAGTTTTTGAACATTTGGTATACATAGGTGTCATGCACATGAAGTGGACTTTTGTGTACAATTATGTCAAAGTTTATTACAAAGTGAGGACATCTTTTTCTATTACAATTATTACTAGGTTTTTTTCAAAGACTATCCTTGTGTAATTTTTAATTTCCAAAAAAACCATCGTGTTAAAAGAATTAGTAAAGACTCCCTGTGAAAATTAGTCAAAGCCGAAAAATCCCTTAACAGCTTTTCGTGATGCCCAATCGCGGATTGTGCGGCCGGAGTAACTTTTTGGACAGAAAAAGTTAAACATACACTTAAACTTCAGAATTTAAAAATTATAGTTTCAACCCGAAATTTTATAAACCCTAAATTAAAATTTTCAGAATTTTCAATTCAGTCCTTATCCTTATTGAAAAATCCCTCTTCTTCAATCTGCTCCGCATCGTCACTGTATGTTGCCAATTGCCATACAGAGAGAAAATAATGTCTTCCACATTGAATCACCACCACCAACGCCTCCGCCCCATCCCTTTCCTTCCACCACCTGCCTCTTCCGCTATCCTTGCCGTTGACACCCTCCATTACAGAGGTTAATTCCCCTTCTCCTCCACCGCCAAGTTCTTGAACACCCCCCCCCCCCCCCCCTCCCTTGCGCGCCCATCCATCTCCCTCCTCAATACCACACTAAGCTACCATTAGTAGTCAAAGCTACTTTTGACTATGGGGGCTGATTCAATGTAGATTTAACGAGGGGCATACATTTTCCGGCCAAATTGAGCCGTACAACTTCGATTCCGATGAAATATAAGAGTGGTGGACTGGTGGTCTGGCTCGAAATAGGTTCGAATAAGGCAGACGTTTTTCGGACCAACCAGACAACACCACTTTGATTGCAGCGAGATGTCAGGCATGAACACCGAAGGGCGTTGGAGAAGAGGACTTTCAGAGGTTTTGCTGCAAATGCTTTGCGTTTACTTTTCCTTTTTTAATTTCTTTTTTTTGTATTTATTTTATAAGGGTAATTTCATCAATTCATATAAGTCAACAATACATTTCAAAATAAGGGTCTGTATGCTTTGAGAAACACAAAATAGGGGGCTTCTTGCTAATTGTTTTAATAGAGGGCGTTTTTTGGTAATTAGAAATAACACAGGGGGTCTGTGCTATTAGCTCATTATTATTATAATAGCTCATTATTATTATGATGTATTTAAATAGTTTTTTTTCCTATCTGTAAATACTAGTGAATTATTAATTTGAATTTGAACTTTTATAGCGGGTACTCATAGAGCGACACAACTACTAAATTCGTGTTTTATCTATTTTCGAATAATAAGTAGGGGTGTTCATAGTGTAAAACTGTACCGAACCATACCGAAATTTCGGTAAACTAAAATTTCGGTACTTCAAAAATTTGTACCGTTTATTCAGTCCAGTATGGTTTTTTACCAAACTATTCGGTTCGGTATTGGTAAAATCGAAATATATTTTCTTATTCTAGAAAAGGTAAACATTATTAATAAACAAAATAATTCTTGAATTTGACATTCAAATTTCAATAACCGGCCCTAAAAGCAAAAAAATGATCATCAATAGAGGCTAATTTGTAAATAATGAATTTTTTTTATCAATCTATAAATATTTTATAACTTTAAATGGTTTAAAATAAAAGAAAAAAATAAATATTAAATATTTCAGTACTCAGTACGTACCGTATGCCGAGCATCATCAATACCGTATTCCATACCGAATATCGAACCGAATCTTCGGTTCGATGTTGGAAACGTACCGGATTTTAATAATAAGAAAAGAAAAGGAGTGGACATTAAATTATGTTTGGTTGGACTTAAATGTAGAATTTATTTATTTATTTAATTTATTAATTACCAAAGTCGAATATGCTGCTGCAGCCATTGCTGCGGAGAAGCAAGAGCATGAAATGCATCCTCTTCGCCCAATTGTCACTCTTCTCTCCACCCAATTTTAACTCTCCCAATCAAATCCCCAATCCCCATCGTCTTCCTCATTTCACCTCTGTAATTCCGCACTTTCTCTCTCTCTTATTCTCACTCTTCTCTCCGGCGCCTCGTCGCCTGAATCCCTGATTGGTTGGTTGCTTTTTTCTTTTTTTGTGTTTTTTGTTTTTTTTGAAATTGTGAATTCAGGGTTTTTGGAGTTCGAATTCCAGGATCAATCCACGTGGATATTGCTCGAGGAGTTATACTGGAGTGAAATCAATGGCGTCCGCGAAAATTGTTAGCGATCCGGAGTCGATTTCATACTTGAATCAGCGAGAAGCTGCGGAAATTGATGAAATTCTCATGGGCCCACTTGGGTTCAGCGTTGATCAGTTGATGGTCAGTTTTAATTTTTTCTTTTATGTTTTCTTTTGTTGAGCTCCAATGGTTAACGTCTGGAAATTTCTTTAATGCAGGAATTGGCTGGTTTGAGTGTGGCCACTTCTATAGCAGAGGTAAAAGATTTTCTATAGTTTGTATGTAGCTCTTTTTATCCCCATTTCTGTGCTCATTAGGGAAAATTATGGAGTCTGTAGCTAATCGAATTGAGTCGAGCCGAACTCATGTATGTTCAAGCTTGTTTAAATTTCTATTGTGCTTTCAAAGTTGTGTTAGAACTTGGTTTCATAAGCAATCGAGTTAAGCTCGAACTAGCTTAATCGAGCCGTATACGAATCAAGCCCGAGTAGCTTGATTTTTCGTACATAATTTTTCATTTCTTTTATCGAGTTCGAGCCGAGCTTCATAGGCCGTAGGTATCGAACGAAAATATGTGTTTAAGGTTGGTTCGTTATGTTAGTAACCGTAGCTCAAAAAAGATTTTAACGAACGATCTCGAATAGAAACGTCGGGTAAATTAATTTGATTTTACCCGATTCAGAATTTTTGAGTTTCAAATGCTTTTTTTTCTATCTGCAGGTCTATAAGCCAGCTGAACATAACCGTGTTCTTGCTATATGTGGCCCGGGGAATAACGGTGGTGATGGTCTTGTAGCCGCTCGTCATTTGCATCACTTTGGGTACAAACCGTTTATTTGTTATCCAAAACGTACTGATAAGGCTCTTTACAGTGGGCTAGTAACGCAGGTATAGGGCATCACTAATGTTTACTAGAGCAAACTACCGTAATCTTGCAGTGCTGCTTATGTATGATTTGTTTGTAGTTAGAGTCGCTGTCGATTCCTTTCCTGTCTGTTGAGGATCTGCCAGCGGATTTATCTGCAAGCTTCGACATTGTAGTGGATGCAATATTTGGCTTCTCGTTTCATGGTACTCCTACCTCTGAACGAAATATCAATTGCATTGTTACTCCTGTGCACGACTCATTGTCGAACCAATGCATGCAAATGCAATCATAAAGAAGAAATTACGTTTATCTTTCAAAATTCCTTAAAATTGTACTGCCGAAAAATTACATATCGATCAAGCCTCGTGACTGTGATTAATAATGCATTTATTAATCATGAATTTGATTAAGGCGAATCAGTTAAAGATACGATACATACTGATAGCAGCTACCACACTAGCTTCTATTTAATCCAACGTCATTTTTCTGATAAATTTCTTTCCACTCCTCTAGGCAGCCCAAGGCCTCCTTTTGACGATCTGATACAGAGGTTGGTAGCTTTAGAAAATCCGAGTCAAAAGAATGAGAAATCACCTGTCGTAGTCTCTGTAGATATTCCATCTGGATGGCATGTTGAAGAAGGTGATCTCAGTGGCAACGGCATTAAACCGGACATGCTTGTATGTACCTATCACTCAAAAAAATTAACTTTTCTCGTCCCACTTGATTGGCATGTTAAAATGTCGCAATTTGCGAATAGGTTTCCTTAACTGCTCCTAAGTTGTGTGCCAAAAGATTTTCTGGTTCCCACCACTTTCTTGGAGGCAGATTTGTTCCTCCTTCGATTGCAGAAAAGTTCAAACTCGAACTTCCAGCATATCCTGGAACTTCTATGTGTGTCAGAATCGGGAAGCCTCCACGAGTTGACATCTCAGCTCTTAGAGAGAATTATATTTCTCCTGAATTTTCTGAGGACCAAGCTGAAGCTGATCCCTTCGCCCAGGTATTAATTAGCCAAGTTGAATTCTCTTGAATTCTGATAAATGGGATAGTTTTATGATGAGTTGGATTTATTTCATGAATTTTCCTACAAGATATGTTTACTTTAAAACCTTTTTTTTTCTTAATTTTTTTAATACTGTAGTTCCAAAAATGGTTTGATGATGCCATGGCAGCGGACTTGAAGGAACCAAATGCTATGGCCCTTTCCACAACAGGAAAAGACGGGAAACCGTAAGTTTCCTACTTCGGTTCTGATTATTGATTATTTTGTTTGAAGATTTTGTATTGTGTAAACGGAGTTCCAAAATGTATACTTTATATCAAAAGAGATTGTGTGTGGATAAATTTTACCTCATACTACGAACCACGATGATATGTAGTTTGCTATTATTTTGCTGCAGATCTTCAAGAATGGTATTGCTGAAAGGATTTGACAGAGACGGTTTTGTTTGGTAAAGTCTGCTCTTTTACACTCAAATGGAATGCATATCGCCTGATCAAAAACTTGTTCCTTCCCTTTAAAACTTGTTCCTTCCCTTTCTAGTATCGATAAACCTTTATTCTTCTGATTAGGTACACTAATTACGAAAGTCAAAAGGCTCGTCAAATATCAGAAAATCCTCAAGCCGCTCTCCTGTTCCACTGGGATGCTTTGAATCGTCAGGTATCTGTCATATTACAGTTGAACTAGCAGTTTCATTTCGTATCACGATATGGCTTGAGGACGAATCTGTAAATAGTGATTTATACGAACAAAATCCGTAAAGGTTCAATACTAATGTGGCTTTAGGTAAGAGTTGAAGGCTCAGTGCAGAAGGTTCCGGATGAGGAATCTGAGCAGTACTTCCACAGCCGTCCCAGAGGAAGCCAGATTGGAGCGATAGTTAGCAAACAGGTTCCGTTTTTTGTTCTCCCTCCAATTTTTGAATTATACTCGTGTTTTCGTATCGTGTTTGTTTGAGATGCTTGTGAAACACCTAAATCTATCGATTTTTTTTCCTCCAGAGTACTGTAGTTCCCGGAAGGCGATATCTCTACCAACAACAGGAAGAGCTAGAGGCTCTGTATTCGGACGGGTTAGTTTATTCGTTGCTCAACCACTCAAATAGTCCGAGCAGAGTGTGTTTCTTGATTTAATTGTGTAATATGTAGGGATATTTCCTACGATATTGCAACATGATGAGATAGTGTTGTATAACGTGCCGTGTTTCGTCTGAAACCAAATGATACAGTTCAATTTTTTATGCTATCGTCATCTAAAGAGGCAAAGTATCCCTTCCTTTTTTTTTCACCCTTAAATTTCTAATAGCAACAATCGATATCTTATGCAGAAGCCTGATTCCGAAACCGAAACATTGGGGAGGATACAGACTCAAACCGGAGCTTTTTGAATTTTGGCAAGGACAACCATCCCGCTTGCATGATAGGTAACAATATATTTCCAACTTTTCGCGTGGCTCATTAGATAATAGATAGTAGAAACGTTAAATAATACCGAAAACGAAAGCATGTATGCGATCGAAAACATGACAGTAAGAAAAGTACAGGTCAAATATTTTTTATCGAATAAAAAGAAGCAGAAATTACATGCATCTCGTCTATTTCATTATTATTTTTTTTTAAATGAATTTTACCATTGTTGGCAGATTATGTTACAGTCCAGAGGGTAGTGATGGAAAGACAGTATGGAAAATTGTGAGATTGTCTCCATGACTATTATCCAAGGCATCTTCCTTATGAAAGAAAGGCATATTATATTCCTTTTGTGTTTTTCTTTTTTTCTTTTTTTAGAGCATTAATTCTAAGTTTTATTTTGTATGTAACTCTTTATGCAAGAAAGTGTAGTCCTGTTTGTGTATTTGGCAACAAGCATACATATACTGATATACTAGACTAATAATACCAGCTACACTTGCATCTACTATTTCGATTTTTTTTTTTTAACAAGGGTAAGAAAACATAATAAAAATTTATATTTATTCTCAAAATTAACATGGTTTTGTTCGCTTTTCCACGTGGCAATATGTCTTCGAATAGATTAACAGCTCGCGTACAACGACCTAACTAATTCGAGTAAATGATACCACATGTCTCGCAAGGGCTGACCTAGCGGTTGGAGCGAGTGATCTTGTGTCAATTGATCCAGCATCGAATCTCTTTGACGACAGTTCATAGGTCGAGCTTGCCACACAACAAAAAGAAAGTTAATGATACCTCATCCCTCGGTTACATATAGTGGTTTCGCGAAAATTAATTGATATAACTTTGTTATGCATCAAATGAAGGGAAAATTACAATTTCACTTGGTCCATTATGTTCACAAAAAACACATTTGGTTCATTTACGTCAATTTACCGTTAGTTCGCAGTTAAGACAGTCACCGGCACACATTTGAATATGTTAGTACTAACGGAAAAGGACTAAAAATGTTGAATTTTTAAACATGAAGGGCCAAATGTATTTTTTATGAACATGGAGGACGAAATATAAAATATGTACAAACTTTAGGGTAAAAACTATAATTTTTCCACAAATGAACATTTACTTTACATTTTCACCTTCAATTATGAAAAGAAATGAGTCTTATACTCTTATTCTTTAACCTCCTAGTCAACTCGAGTCAAGACCAGTGGTTTTTCTTTTTCTTTATTTTTTTTCTCCTTTTCTATTTAGGGGCTATTTGTCAAACACCCCTCATTCAATTTGGACTTCTTGAAAAATCCATTTTTTTAATTAATATTTGTTATAAATTCAATTAATTCTAATTATCCAAAATGCCCTTATTTACTATTACTGAAAATTAATATATTATATTATTGTGGAAAAATCAATCCATTTTTGGTAGATATGCAAATCCCCTATTCTCTGAACATCTCTCACCATCCCCTATTATCTCTCCTATGACCTATCACATATCTCACGTTAATTTTAGTTTATGCTTCCCCATTTTTTTCAATTTTTTAATAATTTTTTTGTACAATTTAAAACAAAAATTGTTTTTTCTTTCTTAAGTGTTTTAAATGGTTTATATTTAAAAAAATTTAAATTCCACTACATACTCATCGAAGACCACTAAATTTATTGATTGGAAAATTTTCCCATCTAATGCTTGATCCAGAAAAAAAAATTGAGATTAAAAAAAACCAGATATTCATTTTTGCTCTAAGTTCAAGAAACCATAGGGAAAAAAATGGAGGATGAAAAACCCATATCCTATTTAACACAGCAACAGGCTGCTGAGATTGATGAATTACTTGTGGGCCCTCTTTCTTTCACCATCGATCAACTCATGGTTCGTTTTCATCATATTTTATTACTAACAGCAATTTCTGTTTTTCAATTATTATTTCTTTTTAATTATTTTTTTTGTTAAATGTGATTTTAAATTGCAGGAATTGGGTGGTTTAAGTGTTGCATCTGCAATAGCTGAGGTCTGTGCTTTTAGCTTGTATATACATACATATTTGCTTACTTTCTTTATTTTTTAGCTGAGATTGATAAATTTTGAGGGCAACTTACGGCCACCCTTGAGGTATGGTCAAATTACGATTGGGTATTTACAGGTAATTACAGACACCGCTCAACTACGTATTATCTTACGAAAAAACCCAGATAAATTTAGGGATGTTAAATCGGTCAAACTGAACCGAAATTTCAGTACGTCAACATTTCATACAGTTTACCGAACTGTAAATAACCGAATTACATAAACTTTATGTTAAAATATTTAAAAAGAGGGGTGACTCTAATTACCCAAACTAGAGGAGTTTTTTCGTAATTTTACCACACCTCAAGAGTGGCCGTAATTTGCCCTAAATTTAAATTGTTATATGTGATGGATCTTTGTATTGGGTATATTCTTCATCGGATTGTGTGATAATAGAGATTGAGGATGGACTCAATATCAATTAAATTCCGGGCCTGTTTTTTTTTTAATCACGGGCTTCATACTTTAACATTTGATACACCTTGATTATATTGTCTACCAAGTCCTATCCTTACTCCCAAACGAGGCCTTTAGGAATTACTGTTGTTTCGTTTATGGGAGATTGTTGCTTGCATGACAGTTGTGTTTATCCACGTTTTGCTCCCTTTCTTTTAGTAACCATTATGCATGATTTTATTTTTTCCGAGGTTTCGTGTTTTCGAGTTTTGGGTTCTCGGGTATGAATTTGAACTCTTAAAACTTTTCGTGTTTAGGGACTGATGGATTAGAAATCATTTTTAATTAGACTAATTAGTAATCAAGCATACAGTTACATGTATTTTATCGGAGTAATTTGTCGAGTGCCCCTTAAAGAAAAACGGAAGTGACAATATATTTCAAGAACCGCACCTTTTTTCGTAATACTTTACAGGTTTACAGACCAAACGAACACAACCTTGTACTAGTAATATGCGGTCCCGGAAATAACGGCGGCCATGGTCTCGTAGCTGCTCGCCATTTGCACCATTTTGGATATAAGCTCTTCGTTTGTTATCCAAACCGTAATCTTAAACCTCTTTTCACGGGCCTCGTCACTCAGGTATTATTTACTGAATCAAATCTCCATCCCCGTAAATTTAAATCGCATTACAATTAATACTCATTCATTGTTACTTTTGTAGCTCGATTCGTTATCAATCCCCTTCCTTTCGATCGAGAGCCTGCCTCGAGAGTACTTAAATTTCGACATTATAGTGGACGCAATATTTAGCTTCTCTTTCCATGGTATGAAATTTTTCATTTCAATTTATCGAGATCAATCTTATCGTTTATCGTATCTAAATATATTTTTACGTAGGAAATCCTAAACCACCGTTCGACAATCTGATCCGTAGTTTAGCGTCTTTAAGAGAACATTATCAAGAACGTAAAAAATCTCGTTTCGTTGTGTCTGTGGATATTCCTTCTGGCTGGCATGTCGAAGAAGGAGATATAACTGGCGACGGCATTAAACCGGATATGCTGGTAAAAAAAAAAATTACAGGTTTTTTTTTTTTTTTTCCTAAATTCGCGTTGTTAGTGCACCGAAACTTTTTTCACTTAAAATCGCTCGTGTATAAGGTTTCCTTAACAGCTCCAAAGCTTTGTGCTAAAGCGTTTCTTGGTTCGTACCACTTTTTGGGTGGAAGATTCATACCTCCGTTTATTGTGCAAAAGTATAAGCTACGACTTCCACCGTATAACGGCACTTCTATGTGTGTACAAATCGGAAAACCGCCTCGAACTAACTTAAAAGCTCGTCCGGAAAATGTGGAAGCTGATCCATTTGTGCAGGTGAGGAACTTGTAAGATGTATTCTTTTGCACGACTTATCTTTTCGAAAATATATATTACAATAATTTTTTTATTTTTTTTATTTTTTGCGTAATTTGCAGTTTAAGAAATGGTTAGACGATGCAGCGGCAGCTGGTTTGAAGGAACCAAAAGCTGTGTCGCTGTCAACTGCCACCAAAGACGGCAAACCGTACGTTTTTCGTTTTCGATTTTTGCTTTTACACTAGTGAATCTATCTAGCCTTTCGTTAATATATACGTGCACTATTTTGCGTTCGTACGAAATTTTAATACGTGAATATTTTCTAACTAGTGCAGTTCGTCTCGAGTTGTCTTGTTAAAGAAGTTTGACCGACGAGGATTTGTCTGGTTAGTGTTTTTTCTTTTTCATTTTCGTCCTAATATAAGTTTTTTTCCTATTGAGAATTGAAACGGGAAAGGATTTCTCGTGAACTTCGATTATAAATTTATAATGCATCCGTTTAGTTTAATCTCGAACAAATAATTCTAACTTACAAACAAACATGCGCAGGTGTAGTAATTATGGAAGTCGAAAAGGGCGCGAAATATCCGAAAATCCTCATGCATCACTTCTTTTCTACTGGAATATCTTGAATCGCCAGGTAAGCATCACTAATTCCAACCCGTCGATTTTCCTTTTATATAAAAAAATACAGGGAAATTTAATTAATATTATGCAGGTAAGAGTGGAAGGTTTTGTGCAGAAAGTTTCTAATGAAGAATCGGAAGAGTACTTCTGCACTCGTCCACGCGAAATAAAGATCGTGCCAGCTGTCAGCAAAACGGTCCATCTTTCAATCTATAGCTCATCGCCCAAATTGTTCATTAAATTCCAGCATACGTATATATAACATTAATCCAATTTATTTGTTCGTTTATTACAGAGCACCGAAATATCAGGAAGGGAGATTCTCCATCAACAATGTAAAGAATTGGAGGAAAAGTACCCTGAGGGGTAATTAACTTATTACTCTATGTAATTGCAATACGATTAAATTGCTAAGAAATTCTCGTTTTTCTGTCGTGTTTAGAACAACGATTCCTAGGCCGGTAAATTGGGGAGGCTATAGACTTGTACCCGAGAGTTTCGAGTTTTGGCAAGGAGATGAATCGTGTGTGCATTTAAGGTTGTTCCTTTCTTTTCGGTTTTGTCGAATATATATAAATTGTAAAAATATCCACCTTTCATCCGCACACACACACCCACATGGATGTGTGTGTTTCTTTGTGTGTGGAGATGAATGGTGGATGCTACAACATGTGTACTTCACTCGGTGTTGCTCATTGTATATTTCATATAGTTTCGAGTTAATATTTCTCCTATTTTTGACAAGTTCGGTATATCTATTTTCCTCAACATTTTGTCGAGGGTGAATAAATATTCATTTTCATTTTGATTATCAGGTTACGGTATTTCAGCGATGGAGAAAACGAGTGGAGAATCGTTCAATAACCGATACATTGTACAACCTTGATTTTTGTATGGGGTTTTTTGTTACTATACTTTGTGCTCATATATTTGTAAGTACAGGTGTTAGTTTTGCTAATTTTGGTTTTAAAACATGCAACTTATTACATGTATATTTATCTGTTCTTTTATATATATATATATGTATAGTGCTATTAAGCTGAATTTTACACAAATTTTATCCATGTAGTTATCAGGGATGTAATTGTAAGATTTTATATATATTAGGGGTTAATATATTTTCTCTAACTCCATTTGTTTTTTAACTAACATTTATAGGGCAAATTACGGTCACCCCTGAGGTAAGGTCAAATTACGAAAAAATTCATCATGTTTGTGTATATACAACCACCTCCCTCATCTATGAATTTTCTTATATGGCTACTCTATTGGTGTCAAATTTCGTGGAATCTTCTAGGTTATGTGGAAATTTCTCCAGTATGTATCCGTTTTACCTCGTTCGAGCTCAACGTTTTGAAACAAGATGATCATAAGATGTGTTTCTTGATTTATAAATAGCAGATTGTGGTGAATCAGAAACTACATTTTTGGCACAAAACGAGTACAAACTAGAGAATATTTCACGAAATTTAGAAAATTATGTTGAATTTGACACCTTACGGATGAACGTGTAGAAAATTTTATGTTCAAAGGTGGTTGAAATTGCCCAAACAAGATAGAGGTTTTAGTAATTTGATCTTACCTCAGGAGGTGGCTGGCCTGTGATTTACCCAACACTTGCATGATATTTTCTAATAGTACATCACAAACTAGTCGTCTCTAATGTCGACTTGATTTTCATTAGATGAAAATAGTCACCATATACATACAAACCTTAAAACAATGGTTCTATTCTCTTTAGAACCGATGATTCAAGCTCAAACCTTTGTCGAGCCAACACAATTTATTTTCACCACCCGTGCATAAAACACACCAACCTCTTCATACTTCACATCTATCTTTCTTTTTTCTTCGGTGTCGAGAGTTAAGAAAATGTCGAATATATTACCCTCGGTTAAAGTCAACGAATGTATTCAAAAACTAAATGTAAAAAAATGTATAAGTTGAATCAAACATTACAAGTGATAGATTCCCATTGCATTGAGAATATGCATTCATCATTAAGCTATGTATCTCTGCTCCTAGTCAGCTAATGTATCTCAACGCTTACACCGTCAACACTCGGAAATATGAACAGAAACCGAAACGGAAACAAGTTTAGGACATTAGTTGTATTGGGCTCTTTCCAGCTACTTCAGTGTACCATGATTTCCATGCTTCAACGTAGTGCGAGAACAGATCCTTCAAAGCTGAGAAAAAAGAAAATCAAGAACGAGTATTTCGTGAGTGAGATATGCCACAAGATTATTCGAACAAATATCTATCATTTGTGCAACTAACAATCTTCAAAGAATTTAGACAAATTGAAAGAGTACTCGATGCTTGCCAAATTCATGAGAAATAAGAAACTATTCAGCTGTTGTCCAGACACGAATTTAACGATGACGAATTATTAGATAACGAACATAGTTGTTTCTTGGAAAAAATGGCGTGCCTAAACAGTATGGAACTTGAAATAAAGAAAATGAATGTATGTATTATTTGTATCACTTGCATCTTGTTGTCTATTATTTGATAAACACAGTACAAACACGAACACGACACTTCGAATGAAAGAAATGATTGGAATTTATTTAACTAAGAAAAAATATGTTGATACGATGAAATCAACAGTTTCAAGAAAATACCTTGGTTGTGATACTTAGGCCGGTAAGTAGAAGCCAAGCTTTCCCAATCAACAACCTGCTTTCCCTTATCATCGTTCGACACTCCAACTTGAGGTACATTTGCAGGTGCAAAAGGGCCAAACTGGTAACTCTTTGCACCCATTGTAGTTGTTCTATCATCCTCGTTTTCTGTCTCGTTTTTGACTCGCATTAGGTTAACTGGCTTCAAGATTTGAAGCCCATCTTCATCAACCTTAAACCTCTTTGCTGTATTAGTTAAATCAGTCCCAAAAATCCTCTTCTTCGAGTCTACAATTCCATTATCGGGTTTTCCATTCAGCCCTAACCATCTAAAAGCAGGTTTTCTTGTCTCAGGGTGATGAATCTGTATATCGTTCAGAATAAATGTTAAAATTATAAATCCACATAACGAGTTTCATAAAATTAATGTCGAATTAGGATATACGATGAATCACCTTCTCGATGAATTTCATGGAAGATAACACATTGGCAATATCGTACAGTCTTCTGACTTTTGCTGGAGAGTTGAATGAAACTAATGTTAAGAAATTTATTATTGCATCTTTCATTTAAGCAATAAAGCAAGATAAATAAATAAGGTAAAGGTATCTTACTTCTAGTAGTCATTGAAGTGTGCTTTCCGTCGCCGAGCAAAAGCTTTGCTGCATCTTCGAGAGAAATCAAATCCATCTGAATTTGAAGACAATTTATATTCATAAGATGCAAACCAAACAGATATCAATATTAATGTTCGACATGAAATATACTTACATCGGTGCAGAGAAACAGCTTAACAAAATTCTGTGTAAGAAGCCCAAGAGACTTTTCCTTCCTATTCTCACCTATACACGAAAACGAAAATTCATTTTTCAGTCAAATGGTGCAACCTCTAAGGAAAGGGTTTCAGAAAAGAAATACAAAAACAAACATATTTGCAGAAATTCAATAAAAAGAAAAGGCAATTGGATTATACGATGAACAAGACTAGTACCAGATTTGGATGCCATAGCAGATTTAAGAACCGAACTAGTATCCGATTTATCATTTTGGCTTAAGCAGTTAATATCCGAGGACATCGAATCTTCTTCATCATCCGAAACCTGATTCCAATCAATGGCAGGAACAGAAAAATACGGGGAATCTTACAATCACATTCAATAATCAATTCAATTCAAATTCAAGAGTCGAAACCGAAATGAGCCCAAAAAATACTTACTTTCTCAGAACAGCTTGTATCGGCAAAAGGGCCATTCTCCCTCAAACCCTCCCTCTGTACCATAATTGAAAAAAACGAAATCCGAGGAATTTAGAATAAAGAAAAACTCACATTCCATTAAACACTTCAAGCTTCTAAACAAAATCAAAATTCACTAAAAAAAAAAAAAGAAATATTACTTTTAGGGCTTCCAGAGCTTCCGGAATCGCCCCGAACCCTTTCCAAGTATATCGATTTTTCGCCTTCCGGATAAGAATCTGTTAACAAAAATTAGAAAACCCTAAAACTCAGCACAAAAATGAATCTGGTACAAATCCAATCCCCAATTACTTAAAAAAATCCAAATAGGGCTCAAAGGATTAGAATTTCTTACACCAACACTCTCCAAAACATTCACGATATCATAGATCCGCCTCCTTTCCACCCCTACAAATTAAAAATTCATCCATAAATTACAGAATTAAAACCTAAAAAAAATGAATTTGAAATTGAAACAATTAAAGCAAAATCAAAAATAAATTACCTAGTCTCGAGGCTGCATCGTCCAGCCCAATTGTCTCAATCCCCTCTCTATCGTACAAGCTCAAAAAACTGCATCGTTCAAATCGAAATTAAAAATTAAAATTAAAAAAAAAAAAAAAAATCGCCACTACAAACACTCTCATAGGGGGGGTGGGGAGGGGGGGGGGGGCGAAAAATCCATACTTGGAGCACAAAAGGCCGAGAGATTTCTGTTTACGGCAATAGGGCACATCTTTAGATCCAGATTCAACAGCTGCGGAATAAACAGAAGAAGGTAAAGCCATTATTTTCTCTCTCTAACTCTATATCTCTGCGTTTTCTCCTTATGTATGTAAATTACACACACACACACACCAAAAAAAACACGCAGGAAAGTGTGTATCTGTGGGTGGCGGAAAGACCGTTAAGAAGGGTTTGTTGACAATGGCGGGGGGCTGTGTAATTTTCTGATTTGGGAGGGATTTTGAAAGTTTGAAATACAACGCCACATGCAAATAGAGCGGGAATTTGAATTCTGCATTTTTTTTTTTTTTCAACGGTGTGTTATGGGGGGGAGCGCCTCCGTGGGGGTGGAATTACCGATTTAGCCTTGGTTGGATGCGGGCCTTTTGTTGTTTGGGGAAGGGTATTTGTGGAAATTGATTTGCACGGAATCTAATGATGTTAAATTTACTAATCACGTGGCTGGATTTTGCTTTTTTGCCACTTTTTTTGTTTTGGTAAATAAATGTAAATTAATGGCTCCTTTTGAAATTGGGTTTTTAAATTGTATGGATCTCCTAATTAATAATTGTGAGGTTGAATGATGTTATATTAGGGAGGTAATTAATTACTATGTGATTGTAATATGTCCTTGATTATCGAATTGAAAGCGAGGGAAAGGAGCTTACATTGTTCGCGGGAAATGCGAAAAAACGAGGGAAACGGGTTTGGCGGGATCGGAAGTGGTGGTTATTGTATCGGACAAAATTGATTAATAGGTTTGAATTTGCGATCGGATGGAATGTAGGTTGAGAAAGGCGCGGAAATTTAATATATTGGCTTCCGCAGGTGCAAAATTTAATGGGAATTGAACTATCTCGTCATCACACGTGGTAATTTGTATTTAATGTAAATTTATAATTTGCTATGTTTGATTAATGTTTTAGAATTTATTTAGATTTTTTTATTTTATTTTAGCGAAAATGTGTTCGTTCGGACCACAAAACCTTGTGAAGGAATTGGAACGATAGCTCTCGCAATAGCCTTTTTGATTAGATAGTTTTTCTCCGTAGTCTTTTTAAATATGAGAAAAAACATTATAATTAACACAAAAGCAAGATCTTTTAAATAATAAAGTTCATATTTAAATTTATATGCAAATAATTGTTATAATTCTATTTTATATTTAAAATTAATATAATTTTCAAAATTAGTTTTGAGATAGATCAAAACTACAGACAAAATATAAAATAATCACCAAGTTTACATAAACAATTTCGTTATTATAACTGTCACACCGTTTCATGAATCTATATATTTTGATTATTTTCACATTTCATGTGGTATTCGATTACTTAGAGTAATCAATGTAAAATCCAAAACTTTGATCATTGCACACAAGCTGATGAACACACATAAACTGAGTCGAGGGTTGGTCAGACAAGAACCTCAAGTTAATTGATATGCTCAGCATAGGATCTTAAGAGAATTATTATATGGTGAAAATCACATTCGTTATAAAAGTGAGCTCGAGAAATTGTTTATAATTGGACTAGTAGAATTATTAATAGAGAACAACTCATATTTGAGTTATACACTTTAATGACTTATGACTTTAAACTAATGAGATTGACCCATTAATTTAGTTTTTTCGCAGAGAATTTATATTTTTGACCCATTAAGATAACCTAATTGGTTATATCAATAGATTCATGGTAACGATTTAATTAATTAGAAATTTAAGTTTTATAATATTCATCACTCGATGACACGAATTACATATGGTTAATTTTTTTTTTTTACCATCTGTTGGTTATTTTATTTGATTACCTTTTGAATTTATCAAATGTTTCGACGAGTTTAATTATTAATTTTATCGAATAGTATCATTTAATCATGGACTTCAAATTTTACTGCAGGCATAGTTTATGTTGAATCCTACCGATCGAAGATGTTACTAACACACACATATACTATTTAATTCATAAATTTAATGGTGTCAACTAAACGAGACCTTATACCACCACATACTAGGATGAGAGACTGAACTCGATCGTTAAACACCACATCGTACTCTCATGCTCTCCGCCAACTATATCACAATTTCGTCAATCGTACATTTACATGATTGCCCTCCGTTCATTGTGTCTTTTAATTTCACAAAGTAAATAAAATGATAAAATACATAGTTAAATACACTTGTCCTATTTTTAAATTTATATATATATATATATATATATATATATATATATATGTACATTAATTTTATTTATCTTAAACAAATTTATCCCAAAGCAAAAATAGAAAAAATAAATTAAAATAAATAAATAAATATATTGGAATTGGAATTGGGTGAGCCCTTGGTTTCATTTCCGGTGTCGTTTTGAAGCTCAAAATTCAAATCAACAAGAAGGCGCGTCGTCGATACACAAAACCCCAACCCCAAACCCTTCCTCCGCCCCCAAATTCAATCTCAATTTCAATTTCACCTCCACAAAACCAGAGATTAATGCCACCAATTTCAAATAAAAGAGGGCAAAACTGAATTAAGAAGATTCAGTAATTAAATGGCTTCCAAAGAAACCTGCAGAACCGAGCTCCGCTCCGCCGTCCGCCACCTCAGCGACCGCGGCCTCTACTCCGCCTCCAAATGGTAAATACTCGTCTCCGTCATTTTCCCTAATTACTTCAAAAATTTTTTTAAAAAAAATCGCCTTTTTTTTTTTAATTCGAATTTAAAAATTATTTCTGATTTGAAGGGCGGCGGAGCAGTTGATGGGAATCGAGCAAGACCCATCGAAGCACACTCCATCACACACTCGATTCCAGCGTGGAAGCTCCAGCATTCGCCGCCGATTCCGCACTTCCACCCCCGCCGATTCCTCCGCCACACCTGCCGCTGGGGTTTCTTACATCAACACACCGTCGCTCATGGGGGTTGAGGAGTACGATTACGATATGATGGATAGCGATTTTTATATGTTGGCAAAGTCTTATTTTGACTGCAAAGAGTACAGGAGGGCTGCCCATGTGCTCCGGGATCAGACCAGCAAGAAAGCCGTGTTCTTGCGCTGCTATTCTCTCTATTTGGTCGGTTTTTTTCGACAACCTTCGTTTTTTTTTTATATCGTCGTCATTGAATTTTCGTGTTTTCTGGCCTATGTTTGAATCCAATGCTTTCTTTTTTCTATGTATCATACCTGTTTTGAATAATTTGTTGAACTTGCACCTGCCCTCGTTATTTTATACCGAGAATGAAAAGCTTCGGAAATGTTATGTATTAAAGTCACGTGCTGCATTTTGATTAGGAAGTATATTTATTACCTAAGGGGTTTGGTGTGGAAGAGTTAATTTAGTGTTCGTAAGTATTAGCAAGAATTGGAAATTAAGATGTTAATGATAAGTTTTTAGTATTATGAAACATCTTGAACTGTTGTAGGAAATATATGAATGGATTCGAGTTTTCTATGACAAATGCTTCGTCTGTTATAGGTTTGAAAGTGTGCATAAAATTACTTGTACTTTAGATAGCTGAAATCTGATGCAATTCGATTGAAAAGTTGCAGATCTCACGTGTTGTATAAAATAAGTCTATATTGTCTAATTTGATTGGAGGTTGATGGCACAATGTCATTTCTCGATGAAAATGTCTGTGACCTCTATTTGTGATGAGTGTAATAATGATTTCGATGTTCGAATTTTAATTCTTACATCTCTGAATATAGTAAAAGGATTACATATAAAGAATTTTATTTGATGCTTTCGGTTTGTTCTATGCTACTCCCGGTGAACTTATGCGTGCATAGATCCTTATGTATTTTACATACTTCCAAATTATATGTGAGCGCTCGTGTGTAAATCAAAGGTGGAAAAAACTACCTTGTATATTTCACCACGTGTAGCATCTAGCCATCTACTACATCAGTATTTTCCTAATATAATATTTTAAACATTTCAATCACTCTATTTAATTGTTAATAGCCATAAAACTAATGCAACTGAAAATCGAGGATTGTTATCTGTTAGCTTTTGAGTTTCTCTCACTCTTCGGAAAAAAAAACTTATATTTTCAATTCTTTTAAGTTCTTTCACATCTTTTTATATCTACAAAGTCCTAATTAAATTCTTACTCACCTCTTTTTTGGCTCTCAAAGGCTGGAGAGAAGCGAAAAGAAGAAGAGATGATAGAACTCGAGGGACCATTAGGCAAGAGCAATGCTGAGAATCGAGAACTCGTCTCTCTGGAACGAGAACTATCAACCCTCCGTAAAAATGGGACAATTGACCCTTTTGCCCTTTACGTGTACGGCCTAGTCCTCAAAGAGAAAGGCAGCGAGAATCTAGCAAGATCCGTTCTGGTCGAATCCGTAAATAGCTACCCTTGGAATTGGAGCGCGTGGTCCGAACTTCAAACACTATGCACCACAATTGAGTCCTTAAACAGCATCACTTTAACAAATCATTGGATGAAGGACTTCTTTCTCGCCACAGCTTATCAAGAACTTCGCATGCACAACGAGTCTTTATCTAAATACGAATACTTACAAACGACTTTCTCTTACAGCAATTACATACAAGCCCAAATCGCGAAAGCCCAGTACAATCTTCGAGAGTTCGAGCAAGTGGAGGTCATATTCGAGGAGCTTTTAAGAAACGATCCTTACAGAATCGAGGATATGGATATGTACTCGAACGTGCTGTACGCCAAAGAATGCTTTTCCGCGTTAAGTTATTTAGCCCACCGGGTTTTTCTAACAGATAAATACAGGCCTGAATCTTGCTGCATAGTCGGAAACTACTACAGCTTAAAAGGGCAGCACGAGAAGTCGGTTATGTATTTTCGGAGGGCGCTTAAATTGAATAAAAATTATTTATCCGCGTGGACGCTTATGGGCCACGAGTACGTCGAAATGAAGAACACTTCGGCTGCAGTTGATGCCTACCGTAGGGCGGTGGACATTAATCCGTGTGATTATCGAGCTTGGTATGGATTAGGGCAGGCTTACGAAATGATGGGGATGCCGTTTTACGCGCTGAATTATTTCAAGAAATCGGTCTTTTTGCAGCCGAGCGATTCTCGATTGTGGATTGCTATGGCTCAGTGTTACGAAACGGAGCAACTTCATATGCTTGAAGAGGCGATTAAATGTTATGAACGGGCAGCGAATTGTAACGACAGGGAGGCGATTGCTTTGCACCAGCTGGCGAAGCTGCACTGTGAATTGGGAAGGAGTGACAAGGCGGCGTATTACTACAAGAAGGATTTGGACAGGATGGAAGCTGAGGAGAGAGAAGGTCCGAATATGGTCGAGGCTTTGATGTTTCTTGCGCAGCATTGTAAGAATCAGAAGAGGTTTGATGAGGCTGAGGTTTATTGCACTCGTCTTCTTGATTATACGGGTCCCGTAAGTCTATTTAGAGTTAAATTATATTATTATTATTTTATTATAATATATATGTTTTAATCATTTTGTTACGAATTCTGAATGTAGGAGAAGGAAACGGCAAAGAGTCTTCTTCGAGGAATAAGATACGCAAGGGATGTTGAGCATTTCCCTCCGTAAGTTTATTCGATTTCTTTCGAATAAATTTGATGGATTTGGCGGTGTAGCGAAGGTGTTCGTGTACGACTGAGGTGGCGGCTTTGATGTATTTAATCATTTGTCGAGTTTAGCTATAGATTTATTTATTAATTTAGTTAAGACAAGTAGTAGTTTTAGACTGGTGCTTCACTGCTTTGTGTTTTGATGTAGTTTGATAGTTTAAAGAATATATAATGTGTAACAATAAAAAGCAATTTTCCCCTTTGGATATGTTAATGCTTTTACGTACTTCTTTATATGTTTGTTCAATCTTGTTTGAATTTTTATCCAGCTTTCAAATTTGTGTTTGATTTCTTTCAATAAGCAATCAAGTCGAATACGAATCAAGTTCGAAAAAAATGAAAGTGTTCACTTTTTGTTTGTTATATTAACAAATTGAGCTTAAATAGCCTCAAACAAGCTTTGAAAGAACGATCTCGAATCAAATACGAAATAGATTTACTTCTTATATTATTATGGTATAAAGTTTACGAGTGATTAATGCATGTTCGTTCAATCTTGTTTGTATTTTTATCGTGCTTTCAAATTTGTATTTTTCTTTCAATAAGCAATCAAGTCGAATATGAATCGAGTTCGGTTAGCTTATCGAACGGAAAAAAAAAGTGTTCTATTTTTGTTCGTTATATTAACAAATCGAGCTTAAATAGCCCAAACGAGCTTTTAAAGAACGATCTCGAACCAAATACAAAATCGATTGGTCTAATTTCAGCACTATCAAGTCGAATACGAATCAAGTTCGATTAGCTTATCGAACGAAAAAAAAAGTGTTCTTTTTTTGTTCGTCATATTAACAAATCGAGCATAAATAGCTTTTAAAGAACGATCTCGAATCAAATACGAAATAGATTGGTATAATTTCGTATAAAATCGAAATAAAATAAAATATATCCCTTTTTTTTTTAGAAATAAAATCGAAATATATATCCAAAATATAACAAATAAAAAATGAAAGCTAAACTTTCTGCTGAGAAAGAAGAACAAGGAGACCCTGTGGGCCCACAAGGATTTCATTCATAAAACTGAGCAACCCAAACCAGACCACCGGCGTTACGTCAACTCCGGCCAACGGCGGAATCACCTTCCTCGTCTGAACCAGCAGCGGCTCCGTCGGCGCGTAGGCCAGCACGTACGGGAACTCTTCCAGCGGCAGCTTAGGGTACCATGACATCACTATCCTCGCTATGAACAAAAACCCAAATCCAGACAAAAACGGCCCTAATAACCCTATCGCCACCTTCGCCGTCGCCGGATCCAAATCGGCGAGAACCAGATTCTCCAGCAATTTCGATTGCGGAATCGTCGCGGTTATTGCGTCGAGCGGCGCGTTGATTGAAGATGCGGATGAGAGAGGAATTGGGATTTCTGACGAACTGTAGTGCGCTCTGCAAATGTGGTTGTTTCTAGGGTTTCTGGATTTGTGGGTAGAGAGATGAGGAGATGAATTTTGATGATCTCTGGTTTGATTCCTTGGTTTTGAAGGCAGCCATGAAATTGAAATCCCCACTATTGGAGCTGAGAGATTAGACATTATCTACACCCGTTTCTCTCTCTTCTTTCTCTCTCTAAAAGTGATGAAATAAAATGTTTGTTATTTTGGGAGTATTAGAGTAATTTGCTATTTCTTGTGGGGTAATAGTGCAAATATGTATAATTCCGTGCTTTCAGTGGGTGGTGTGCAATTTTTCACAAATTAAGAGGCGTTTTCACAATTTTTATTTATTGATTTAAAGTGAAATTGGGTTCAAGAGAATACAATGACGCGGCAGGGCTACGGGACGGGTATAACAAAATCCATTCCCGGTATAAATTTTTGCATTAATCTTCATATTCGTTCCATATATTTACGGGGCGGGTATTCCTTGCTACTTTCAGGTTGGGTCGGAAGGGGTATCGAATACCGATAGGGCAGGTAAGCTGAACCTGAAATGCTTATTCAATTTGATATTAGAGTCCGACCAAATGAAATGTCATAAGTTTGAATATCGTGTCACTTTTAAGTTTAAGTCTTCAAATAGAATACACCTGGACTTATGAAATATATTAATTATTATATAATTTATTTCACCAACAGCTTAATCTTTCAGTTAACATGACCTCAATTTCCACACCTAATACCAATATAATGTGTGATAAAGTTGAGAGAGAGATACAAATTGGTCCGATCCAATTTAACAGACCGGCCTAAGTGGCGAATAATAATAGTGAAACTCGATCGAAGCCTAGAAAAAGGAGGTCCGACTCGAATTTTTATAAATCTAATCTATATATATATATATATATATATATATATCTATATATATATATATATATATATATATATATATATATATATATATATATATATATATATATATATATATATATATATATATATATATATATATATATATATATATATATATAGATATATATATATATATATATATATATAGAGATAGAGACACGCGCTCGATATCTCGATAGATATATATATATATATATATATATATATATATATATATATATATATATATATATATATATATATATATATATATATCTATATATATATATATATATATATATATATATATATATATATATATATATATATATATATATATATATATATATATATATATATATATATATATATATATATATATATATGTTATATTTCCCTTAATTAGGTTAACTTCCTTTGATTAAGTAGCGTTATTTAAATATTTATAAATTAAATAAGAAATTTAAAAATAAAACTCGAATTTTTAATTATAAAGCTGTACATGTCACAATAAATATCTTCATTGTAAAAATGTGAGATAAGAAATCTATATAATATATAGAAGTTGAATTCCACACCTAATTGATTGACATTTGTCAATTTTAATTGGTGACGTGTATTCAATTTCATCTCATGTGGCGAATTGATTGGTGGAAATAAATCATCAAAAAACATGTCATCATTTGCCAAAATTAAAGATGATTAATTATATTTAATTATTTTATTTATATATTTATATCCTACCATTTATAAAATGCTTTAAATATATCCACTTTCTTGGAAACTCTAAATATTTTT